AAATTGCAGGCTGCCAAGGGTGTAAAGAATTGACCTCACTGCACCCGGCAAGACCGTCTCCATCTGACAGACCATGCTGCTGAGGTCATCAAACCGGGCTAACGATATGTTAAGTTGTCACTCTGACAGTTTCGTTTTTCGGTGTGTTCCCTCCCCCCCCCCCCTCCCCCTCCCCACCCACGAAAAATCTATAAATAAGCTTGAGAATTAAAGATATTTATTTAGTTGTACACAGTATGACAACAAAGATAAATAAAGTACAACAGAAACTACTTACATTTTCAGCTGCTGTATGTCCCATAATGTAGTTACATAATCCTCAGTTAAATTTAAATTATTTAGTGAACTTAGCCACACACACAAAATGTCTTTGATGATTTATCCAGCAAGGATGTATCGTTTTGAACTTTCCTATAGTTATTCAGAAAAAACATTTGCCATAGATGGCAGCACTTTGGAAGCAATGTTTACTTTTAGAACAACCCTTACCACAAACACCACATATTTCCTCGTTGAAATATATGTGTAAACTGCAGGAAACATATGATGTGCAATTTTTTTTTTTTTTTTTTGAAGGCTATAAATTTGGTACTTTATGATTCTGTGTTGTCATATTGTGCGTAACTATATATATATATATATATATATATATATGTATAAATAATATATATATATATATATATACATATATATATATATATATATATATATATATATATATATATATATATATATGTGTGTGTGTGTGTGTGTGTGTGTGTGTGTGTGTGTGTGTGTGTGTGTGTTTAATTCCCCAAGCCTATTCCTATAAATTTTGTTGGGGACGGAAAGGGAAAACACCGAAAAACGGGACTGTCGGAGTGAAAACTTGACGTATTGTTAGCCCGGTTTTGGTGACGTCAACAGCACGCCCCGTCAGATTACTTACATATGTCGGTCTATATATTGGGCGATTCCCTCCGGATGTTACCTAGATTTTACCAGACTGTCCTGAGGTTGAAGAATATCAACGTGGATGTCAGCCCAGTAAGGCAGATCCCAGATAACCAGTTGAATCTACAAAAGGGCTTTGCCATTTAAATGTAACCTGTAGTCATTTTACGGGTAAAGAGGCCAAATGTCCGTTTGTTACTTTTTAGAGGGTGCTCATTTTTTTTCAACTCTGCATCAAATAAGTCTGTGGTGTTATTACATATTCTATCCAACTGTACATATTTATGTCTCAAATTTACATTTTAAAATTTCAAATAATAGTAGTATTAGTAATAATCAGATGTGTTGCTCTAGAATTTAAAAAAAAATAAACTGAAAGGGAGACAGCTGGTGCGATAAAATTAGAAACGCGGATTGCCTGTTTGAGTTGTCAGCCAAAGGGTAATTAATTACATCGGAAGACGTGTGCAAACTGAAAGGAGACTACCCCAAGCTTCTTCTTTTGGCCACGACTACCGCCTCCTGGCGGTTTCGACCACAACCCTAGTAGATTAAAAGCTACAGGAGGTGAGAGGATCAACTACATAGCACCGGGTTTTATCCCGTATGCCCCATCCCACCCACCACCAGTAACTATTGCTTAAATATTTTATATTATGACAAGTATATATAACTATACTTGCTTTTCAGTCAGCGCATTGTAAAAATTACTAATAACATTAATACACCAATTTGTATGACAGGAATGTCCCACAGCCTTCTCAAGAATTAAAATGTGTAGGAAGTCGTGGGAACGTCGAAGGTGCTTTGCATCGGTTCTAAACTTGTAGGTAGGTATGTGTTCTGCTGGGAGGGGGGGGGGGTCGTCACGCTCAATCAGCATTCCCGAAGGGGGTGCTTTAGATTATAATTAGGACTATGTTATGTGAGCTATACAAAAAAGCTTAGCAGTGCGCGCCACCAAGAGCCCCGAAAAGGATTCCTGTTATTTTGATGCGAACAGCGAAGACAGATCCAAATACTGTCCCGACTGGCGACGAAGTCGCTGATAAAGTGCGGTTTTAGGCTAAGTGGGGAAATTCAACCCAACCAGGACCGAACGACAAGTGATAAACAACCGGTGACACAAAGTGCCACCATTCGGATGAGAATCACCTGAGCACAAGACCCTGAAACCCCGTTTAACCTTTAGGTTATATCCGGTGTGGGCTTGACAATTTTTTAAATATTGCCTCTCATATCGGGACGAAAACTAAATGTGAATTACAGGTTCTGAAATCCCAGTTTCCGCGGATTGAAAGGAATGTTCCCGGTGGTGTGGTAACTCTTAACTCGCAGTTAACTCGTGAAAACCGTGTGCAAAAAGAACCCACGGGGTTTTCCCGAAACAGTTTCCTATGCGACTGTGGTGTTTCCCCTTTAGAAGTAAGTGTCAGACATTTTTTCTTGATCACTCACAGAAACAGGAATTCGAATCTCAGTGAATCTGTGTACATCAGTGTAGTTTAACTTCTAGTTATTCATGTGGAAGCTAAACGATAGCGTCATTTCAAGTAAAATTTGATCGTTTTTCCTCCTTCACACAGAAGTTAGTGAGACAGGACACAGTAGCAGGTAATAAAATAATATTATTGTAAAGTTGGCTGAGTAGTAGTTAGTAGTGCTAGTAGTAGTAAATGAAATGAAATGTAAATGCACTCTTCCGAAATATGACCGTTATTCGGAAGAGTGCCTAAATATTGTAATAATCTGTTATCCAGTATTACTATATTTTATTATTTTAATAATGAGAACTGTACACTGGTAGATGAATGATATGTGCACAGTCCTGTGTTTTTCGTACATACATGTTATAAGGAAAAATGAAGTCGAGAACTGGCAAGATAAGCTGCAGACAAAGAAATAAATATTGATTAAAAACGTGAATGCTCTTAGCCTTAATGGGGGCGAGCAGAACACTGACCCCAACCTTGATCTAGCGTGATAATGAGCCACGCTAGCCTACGCAGTAAGCTACACAAAAAATTTTGAAAAATATCCTGTTCAACTTAACCGCGTCCATCTTTAGACTAAATTTATAACTCCAGAAGGGCGTGAACTTAACCATCAGGGTTATAGTGGCATCAAGTTCTCATGTGTATTAGTATTATTATCTTTGTCTTGTTATTGTTAGGTATGCTAGTGAAACCATTACAGTTGGAAAGAGATTACAATATCCAATACAGTGATACCTCAATAAAGCCTGTAAGTCGGGACTGTTCAGCTAAGTTTACCCCGGGTGCCTGGGCTGTGGCATAGAAAGATCCCTCATACAGTACAGCTAGCAATGATCTGTGGGCTGCTTGTTAGGCCTCGCGGAACAGATTTGTATATGCATTTTAATAACTGTCTGTCTACAACCACTGTAGCATTTTTAATACATCTATAATAATTATCAGTTGATGATGTCAATTTGAGAAATTTTTATCTGATCATTTCTAAGCCCAGGTCATTTCAACAAACTTGTCCACATGGCCTAGTATTTAGTAATAATTAAGTTTAATTCGTACTAAGCTATTAATATTATTGCTATATGATTTATATTTTTTTTTTTATAAAACAACCAACAGCATTTTTTAATAAATCAGTCATAATTATCAGTAGTTGATGATGTTAGTTTGAGAACTTTTTAAAATGATCACTACGGAACCAAAATCTGAAATAACACCAAATATGTTTGTACTTCAGGGACTGACTTGAATGTTGAGTGGAGCTCTGTTAGAGAAGTTTAGACTTAATTCCTTCTAAGGTGCAGAGGCTTAATTCTCATTGCTACTTCTACAGCCTATACTGATGTAGTTTTGGGCATTCCTGCTTTGATCTGTCATGTTTGGTGCAGAATTTTATCCATTTTGTAGTTATTACTTTTTTTGCTGAGGAATCATACAGAATGCTACCATACTCAATCTTCCTCTTATATAGATTTGTAGGACATAAGCAGGCTCTCCTTTCACTATAGGCCAGTAGCTGGAAAGCCGTCGATCGGCTTAGTGGGAGTTCTCTCCCTTGGCTGCTTTGCAAACACGGAGCGGAAAAGTCACGAATCAAAAGAGACAATGAGGTCGACAACAGGGCTGCCAATGCTTGGGTGTGTCCCCCAGATCTGGGTGTTTATTTGACGCTTCGGGGGACATCTGGGGTGTTTTTAAAGTAAATATATCCTTATATAAAAGTGGTATTAGTTGCCACGGATGTGACTCCTGCATATCTGTATGACTTAATGACCGATAAATTTGCGTGGTTAGGGTTAGGGTTAGATGTGACAACTTTGACGCAGGAGGTCCACATAATCGCACACAGTCACATACACACCCAAACAATCGAAGGACTGTGGATGCTACTCAAACGGACAAGTCGCCACCGATTGGGCACCAGCCGCACGCTATTGCCGTCATATTTGGGAGATCTCCAGTGGCGCCACTCCCACAAGCATCAGATTGTCGGCCATTATTTGGACATCTTACGTCAAAATTGTCACATCTAACCCTACCCCTAATCCTAACCCTAACGCCCCTAACCCTATCCCTAACCCTACGCCACCGTATGATGACTACGCAACCGTATGATGATAGGTAAGTATGTCATTTGATCCGTGACTTTTCCGCTCCATGTTTGCAAAGCAGCCAAGGGAGAGAACTCCCACTAAGCCGATCGGCGGCTTTCCAGCTACCGGCCTATAGTGAAAGGAGAACCCATAAACATTAGTTTAAAGCTAGTACCCCATCCATTACCTTTTAGAAATCTCAGCATATTTAGAGGTAAGTACACAAGATGATGTTATTGATAACAATGATTTTAAGCTGTCTTCTAGTTGTTAACATGCGTCTAAATGGCTTTTGAAACGAATTTATTGTGATTTTTTTTTCTTGTATTTCTATACTTTGTATTTTGTAATGTATTGTTCTACCTTTGATTATTTTTTTTTTTTTTGAGTCACCTTGTGTGATAAAAAAAAATGTAAGCTGAATCTAGAAAATTCTTCTTTTTTTTTTTCAGAGTAAACTTGGAAATCATTACAAACAGTGGAAATGACACAGCTATTGTCAACGGCGCTGTTAAAGAAGAAAGAGACAGTTCTTAAATGGATTCGGGACCGGGTAGACTACAGCCGAGAAGCAGAACAAAAGCCATACACATTTCACAGATACATCAGTTTCCTGGACTGCCAGTTGCCTTGCATGTCTACCCTGCAACCACAGTTGAGAACTCTATACATAAGTAATGTTGTGGATGAGGACATGAAGATGGACCTGGAGAACTGCCACTCTGTCAACTGGTTGTCTCAAGCCATCAGACTAACACCTGTTAATGTACCCAGTAAGTATAGCTATTTACTGTTCAGCTGAGTTGAATTTAGTTTTTTTTTTTTTTCTAGTGTTCACTGGCTGAAAACTCTGGTGGGCAATTCTGATTGTTTATCTACTTCTGGAATTTGTTCCTGTTCCAGAACTTGATTTTTGCATGCACATCTGTTTTACAGATCATGCTTATCTGTATGTAGATTGTTGGTTCATCGCTTCTCATAGAGGTGCACTTGAGCTTTGAAGAAAACATTCCTAATTGGTAACCTTTTGCTCACCAATCCTTAACGTTTTCTTCCTGTATGGTTTTTACAGCAATGTTATGTCTTTTAAGATAGTCATGGTATTTCATTTATGTGGGGTTTTTTATTTTTAAATTTTCTCTAACAATTTTGATGTTTATTCCCAGTTTTTTTTTTCCTAAATCCTTGTATTTTACTGTTTTATTTCTATGAAACATAGTCTTTTCTTTTGTGTGTCCAGGGTTTATTTACAGTAAAACAGTCACAGTTTGTTTCATTCTGTGCATAAGTCATTTTATTTTAGTTAACATGATTTGTATTATTTTTTAGGAGATGGAAACTGCCTTCTGCACGCCGCATCGGTGGCAGTGTGGGGTGTGGAAGACAACCGGAACACTCTTCGAGACTTGATGCTAATGACGATCAAGATCAGCCCTAACTTCAAGAAACGATGGTGGAGTCAGCTAATAAAAGACCTACAGTCCCTGAAAATTGATGAATCCGAAGTAAGTGTCTGTATTGGAGAAACTGGTTTATTATAACTAGCTCCATCAGCTCTTCAAGAATGGAGAGGCAAAGTTAAAACAAAAAGGAGGGGGGGTTGTGGGGGTAAATAAATAAATTGAGGTTGGTAAAGATGGAGAAGTGGTACATACAGGCATTTTTGTTTTGAAGCAAGAGAATTGGAGAAAGGGGATGGAGACAAGAAGTGACGGGGGTGAGAGAGTAAGAAAACAGAAAAAGTCATACGGGAGAGAGAAGGGTTAAATAATATAATGTATGGTAACACATATATGCAGCTATGTCATTGATCATATATCCTGTGTGGATTCCGAGACCCTATCATAGGGAAAACAAGAATAGACCCAGTGCCTACCCAAAAGCATGTTGTAAGAGTCGACTGATTGGGAGCTTCTTTTGAAGTCAGATTGCATCTGCCTGAGAGGCAAGGAACCAAAGGTCTGCACACAGATGAGTCAGATCTGTCAAGCGGATGCATACGCAACACTCAGGTTCTGAAACAGTACCGCAGTCGAGGCGTGGACGAACAAGAACTTTCCGCCAGTTTGCAATCGGTGAACGCAAAGAAGAAAGAAGAAGTAGATTGATAATATTTCTTCTTCATGGCGTTCACCAGCTGTAAACTCTAGCAGAAAGTTACAGGTGTTTGTTGTCCATTTCTGGACTTTGGTCTTGTTCCAGTTTTGCATGCAGATCCATTTTACAGATCTGGCTTAAATATGTGCAGACTGTTGGTTCCTTGCCTCGGATGCACTTTGAAGGAAACTCCTGAATTAATTTTTGTATGACATGCTTGTTAATGAGTCAGTGAGTCTGTTCTTTTTCCTTGGAACCCACACAGGAAATTGGTCATTTGTGAAGCCTGTCTTGATAATTCTCTAGAAACAAGCCTGTAATCTAGTGCAGGATCGCTCAGAGGAAACACCAAGACAATCATCATGTGATTGATATTGTCCTGCCATGTTTGTTGCAGTATAGAATCAAAATAATTATGTAATATCTCATACATTGTAAACTATTCACAGATCATTGAACAAGAATGGGATGATGTTATTCGTAGCATCAGTGACCTGGATTCCACTACCAAGTCTCTTGCAGTTCCTCACCGTTTCCTGGAAGGTATTCACATCTACATAGTGGCCAACATTTTACGTCGCCCAATCATTGTTGTTACGAACAGCATTGTCACATCTGTGGCCGGACATGACCTGCAGGAGAATCACATTGGCGGCGTGTATTTGCCCTTAGAGTGGGCTCCCATAGAGTGTTGTAAGACCCCCATTATTTTAGGGTACAGCTTAAACCATTTCTGTCCATTACTGTCAGAAACACAGTCAGAGTTTGGTGGTTCTCAGCAGGAGAAGAAAGATGTGCACATGTTTCCTCTTGTTGCCAGTGACCTTAGTTTTCTTCTCGTGAGATATCTTAAAAATGAAGAAGAGTTGCAAGCCTGGGATTTAATTAATTCTTACCTCCTGGTTGAAGAGATAGAAACACCAGAGACCGGAACAAGAATTCCTTTTGTGAGGATGCAACTCAGACCTTTGGAGCAGGGACAGAACTCATTTTTTGAACTGTTGAGACTGTTCAAGGACAGGCTGAAAGAGGCTGAATTTGAAAAGAATGCACAGGGTCACATGTACACAACGCTGAGTCCAACTCAGCAAAGAAATCATCCGTTCTATGATATTGAGATGAACAGCCAGACTGAAGTTGTGTCAATAAAAAATCCCACTGGACACCTGGGAGAAAGCAAAGATACTTCTCATCTGCACAACCAGGCAGAACAGAAAATGAATAATACTGCACAAATGTGTATTAGGGAAGGCTGCAGAAAGCAGGGCTGTGAGAAACTCAACAACATGTGCTTTCATTGTTACAGAACTCAAGCCAGCATGTCTCAAGATAAGAATGTTAGCAAACCAGCTTTTAAGAATACTGTCTTCACAACTGAGGGTTATGTTGAAGCTCCCACTGAAGCACCAGGTCTTGCCATTACTCCAACTGCACCACCATTGTCATTAGAACCACCTTCAAATGATCCGCTACTGTCCATGATGACAGTGAGATGTATTAATGGCTGTGGATACAGATGTTCAAACCAGACCTATCCTTACTGTCATGAGTGTTCCCTGATTCAGAAAAAGGAATCTGAACAGAATGTGAATGCATCAACTCTAGATCAGAATTCTGTCATTATACATTTAGGACCTGCTACAGGAGTCCATGATCCAGAGAACTCTGGCATGAATTTCATGGAAGCTGTATTGTCATCATCACCAGCAAGTTCAACCCCTATCTCCTCCTGGATGCTGGAAAGTGGAAATAATAGCCATTTGTTAAGCTTTCCAAGTAATGAATCGTGTCAGCCTCCAAAAAGTGGATCTAAAACCTTGATGGATAAGAACTGCAAGCATTTTGACCTCTGTTCTGGTGTTAAAATGCTAGATCATGATATCTGCTTCAGCTGTGCTCAAAAAGAGGAAAGTCCAACAAACACTAGCAAAAATGCAGAGACTGAAACACAACTGTCAGGGGACAGAAACATGATCATTGCAGAAGCAAGTACCAAAGGCAGTCTTAAAGATTTGGCTACAAGTTTCGCTGAGATGGTTGCAGGCTGCATGTCTGGTGATATTGAGGTTTCAGAGGAGCCAACTTGTAAAGTCGAGTGTCCTTTTTGTGGCAACCTAATTTTTCCTCAAGAAAAACTTTGTAAAAAATGTAAAGACATTCTTCAGAAAGGTTATGAGCAAACATCTGAATATAGGGAAATCAATCCGGTTACTTTGAACACTGCTTCAAAACTTCAATCACAAAAAATGGGTACAGGATCATTACAGGATAAAAAACATTCAGGTAAATTATCATCAAACCAGGAAAGTGAAGGTAAAATTGAGGGTCACAAAAAAGGTTTAGAAATTTCACATTCTACTTCTAAACTAGCACAGTTTGTGTCAACAGAATCTAAACCTCATCCTACCCAGGGGAAGCGCTGCATAAAAGCAGGGTGTTCTAACTATGGTGATCCAGTGATGGACAACAAATGCAGCTCATGTTATTATGAATTCAATCCCTTGGCAAAGCCTCAGAGTTCCTTGGTAGCTGAGAAGAAAACTAAAGCTGCCTCACTGTATCCAAAGCAAGATGCCAATGAGAAACTGTCTAAGAAACAATTATACAGTCACAGCATAAACTCACAACCGACAGAGCAATTATCTTATACTCAAAAGATAAATAGGCCTACACCAGCTGACCTGCAGATGCACTCTTCAGGTGCTAAAACGGCTCCTGTAAAAGTAATTCCCTGTGCCTTTCATGGTAATGAATCACACTCAGAGCATCCACATTCTCTTAGGGATGTTATGGTTACTTCAAAGTCAGGATACAGTTCCTATTCCAGTTTCCATCCTGGTGACGAATCTTCCTTACAACCCCTGCCGGAACATACATCCTATTCTTTTAACCACAATTCAGATAAAAGCTTTGAGAGGACATTTCAGACCATAGAAGTTGAAGCCAAGAAAAGTGTCAGGAAATGTGTGTCTCCACATTGTCATAACTATGGCAACAAACACAATAAAGGATACTGCAATTCTTGCTTCAGAGTGATCCGGAAACAGATGATTCTTGAACAGGAAGCCGTCTATGCAATGGATGTTCCAGACAAAGTGGTCTTAGATGACATATACAGAATGGATGATACCAGAAAATATCCTTGAAAGTAAAGTTGTTTTATAAAAAAAATATGTGTCTTGAGCCATGTCCGGTGCAGTAATATAATGATTTCTGCAATATAATTTGGAACATAGATGGTTCTGTTGATACGTGAAGAGCTCATGAGCCTTTATGGCTCAGGCTGGAAGGAGAATTGTGAAGAAAGATTCTTGTACTTTTGCCTTGACTTTGATGGAGGTCATGGCAGTGATTGAAGCAAATGTCTGGCTAGAAGCAGAGACCTTCACTTGGGCATGCTTTGGAAGATTGAGATAGGCTGGGCCCAGTGACAGTCACTGGAGTCTTTAATGTGGTCAAGGCTGACAAAGGACATTTTTGTGCCAGGGTATGCAGTTGTGCAAGGAAATGAGTAAGCTGACAGGCTTGCAGGCAAAGCTACAGCAGATGGTGAATGAGCAGTGGACTGAGCTCTACAATAGGCATGTCAGACTCACAGACCCTGTGTAGCCCTTTGCAAGCACACCTGAGGCCCACACAAAGGAAATTTTTATTAAATAACTCCAATAAGTTATTGTGTGTGGCCTCATGATGATATAATTTGACCCATATGGTCCTTAGTGGATGCTCATTTTGACATGCCTGTTCTACAAGATGTAAGACTTTTACAAGACCCAAGTATGACTGAATCTGCAGCCATGATCAAACTGCAAGAACAGCAAGTTAAAAAGGGTGAGCTCAGACAGTTGCACTATGCAGAAAGCCAAAGGAAAAGTGAAGTTTTTTTTTTTAAATTTACTGCATATAAACATGTCCAGACTTTTATTCTAGAGTTGTCTAAATTTCTTAACCTACATTGTACACCTGAAGAGCTATCTTTCGATCTTTGGGACTCCGAATTATTGACACTCAATGTGTCAACATCCATCCTGAACCTGGGAAACAAAGATGCTGAGCCCGCTTTAGTGAAGAAAGACCTCACAATGGAACACCTCAACAACATGTTCCCACAGGACAGCTGGACCAGAATCTACACGGATGGATCAGCAAAAGAGGCAACTAGGAATGGTGGGGCAGGTGTTTACATAAAACACCCAGATGCCACTACTGTGTCCCTAGCAGCCCCCACCGGACGAACTTGTTCTAACTACAAGGCAGAACTCTCAGCCCTATTGATGGCAGCACAGTATATGAACAATCTGCAAATCACCGCAGGCAGGATAGTTTTTCTCACTGACTCACTGTCAGCTATACAGGCCCTTGAGTCCAAACCTACCGACAGCACAATACAAAGTCTAACACATGAACTTGCTATGTTGTCAAATAAGGCAGAAATTCACTTGCAGTGGATTCCGTCACACTGTGGCATCAAAGGCAATGAAAGCGCAGATGCTTTAGCCAAGGAAGGCAGTAACAAACCACAGACCTACCAGCCACTATCTTTTCCAGAAGTCAAAACTCTCATTAAGAGAAAATCAGAAACAGATTGGAAAACCAACACTGGTTATAACTACGAAAAAGATTTTCTGAAACACTTTAACAGAACAGACCAAGTCACAGTTTTTTGCTTATGCACTGGACACTGCAGACTCAATAAACACTCACATAAATTAGGTATGAGCCAAACAGCTCTCTGCCGGTGCCTTCGTGCTGAACAGACTCCAGAACATGTCCTGCAAGACTGTCCTCTCTTGGCGGAGCTGCGGAGCGACATATGGCAACACCCAGTAGAACTGACAACTAAGCTTTGGGGAAACCTAAGAGACCTTGAAAAGACATCCCAGTTTATGACCCACAGTGGATTATGCGCATGACCAGAGATCGCTGAAGAAGAAGTCTAAATTTCTGCAGTAATATAGCCGGTAAAGATCACGTGCTGAGTGTATCACATGATCAGCTTTTTACTTTAATATTGTCAATATAGGTTTTTTCTTGCATACCGAACAATGTATAAGAATGCCAGTCTTTTTTATCATTACCTCTATGGCTCTTAAATTAGAACATAACATCTAAATGAGAATAGAACATAACGTCTGAACAACAGTATAACATAACATGTCTATGAGAATAGAACATAACATCTTTGTCAGATTAGAATTTAACATCTGAACAACAGTAAAACATAATATGCCTGTGAGAATATAACATAACATCTCTGTGAGAAAGAACATAATATCTGTGTAAGAATCTCTCTCTCCAGGGATCTACTCACCTAAGGGACTTAACTGTCAACTAAGTTTTATATAAGATCTTTGAGCTACTGCCCTTGGCTTTCCTGGGCCTATATTTATAATCGGCAACCACACATGTCATTCATTTCACTTGCTGGACAGCAGCATGATCTTTATAGGAAATACCTCAGTTATGTGATTTCGTGAATTCTTGTTTGTACTTTTGGTAGTGTTGATTTTTGTAATGTGCTGTTGAAGGCTTTCTAGCTGCAAGGCTCACTGGTTGTTTGTGATATTGTGAAGCTGATAGTTCCACTTTTCATTTGGTTTGATATCTGTGTGTAAGAATAGAATGTAACCTCTGAGTGACAGTAAAACTTCATCACTGTAAGAATGTAACATAACAACTTGGTGACAGTAGAATACAGCTTTTCAGTAAGACTAGAACATATAATCTCTGTACTAATACAACATTATAAATCTAAATTACCATAAAACCTGGCATGACGCTGACAGTAAAACTTCATTTCTGTGAGATTATAACATTTTGGTGACAGTAGAATGCAACATTTCAGTGAGATTACAACATACTATCTCTGTGCTAATAGAACACTATATCTAAATTACAGTAAAACCTGGCATAACACTGACAGTGAAACGTTTAGTTTATCTATTGGATATAACCAGCAGAGACCACGTTATGGGTGTATCACATGTCTGTATTTATAGTCTTATATTGTCAACATGTTTCTTGTAAACAAAGTTTGTTTGGAAATTCATGAAAACACGTTTGCAATCTGTTTTCTTGAAAACTACCTGTTTGATCGCAAATATTGTTTTGTATGCAGGTGCAATATTGTTAAAATCTCTGTGTAAATATAACATTATTACTCGATCAAAATGCAAAATAGTATTTATGACAGAATAAAGCATTGCCTCTTCATAGAAAACAACATGGTCTGTGATAACATAACATTACCTATGATCCCAGTAGAACAAAACATGACAGGTACAACTGTGAACTCCAAAGGAAAGTTCTCGTTGGTCATCTGTGTCTTGTCTTTGGTCTTATTCCAGGACGAGTTTTCTTCTCTTCTTCACTTCCGCTTCAGGTGTAGAGGGGAATATAAGGTTCTACTTCTTGCTTTTCTGGCTGCCCCAAACATAGACATTGTGTTGTTGTAGAGTTTCTGTGATGATATCTTTCCATGTTGTTTTTAGTCTACTTTGTGCTTTATTTCCTCTTTCCATGTATGCCTTCTTGGTAGGGTGTCTTAAGACATTCTCTCTAATTGGGCAAACCATCTAATTGGCTATATTTATATGTAATTTAGAATTGGTTCTGACACTGACTTGTTCTCTTTTGACATAATTCCTGGCTTTATCTCTTCTGGTCACTCCTCCAGTCTTTCTTGGAAACTCATTTCCATGGTTTCTTATTCTCTTTCTGAATTTTTATGAGTGACCACATCTGGCATTGGTAGCATGAGTTGGGTAAAACTGCTTTGCATGAGATGTTTCTTTGCTGTTGAGACTGTCTTATGCTGTAAGAGGGGGAACTTGCTGTCCCAGTCCTTGGTTTACTTTACTGCATTAATTGTTATTTTCTTCATCTCATTATCATTTTGGTGAATTTTGTTCCCAGACATTTAAGCTAACAATCTTGTTTAATGCCTTTGCATTCTGCTGCTATATTTAGATTCTGATCTTCCTTCCTATTGACATCACTTTTTTGTTTTTTCATTGTTGATTCTCATATTATTTGTGTTTTACATTCTTTATTATTGGCTGTTGATGGTGCTGCAGTTACATGGCTGTATCTGCTTCCAAGGCCTGGACATTAACCAAGAATAATTTATTGATGTTACTAATATTTTCGTTCCTGAGTTGGCATCCTCGTATCTACTGTTGACATATGCGATAAAAATCAGCCGTGATAATAGGACTTAGAGTTTTGCATGCACATTACTTTCTCAGATCTGACTTATTATGTTCCTTGCCTCTTAGGCAGATGCATTCAGTTTCGATGGAAACGATGATGATATCTGAATTGGCTAGGCCTCGGTAGGCACCTGTGTCTAGAATGGCCACTTAAAGGTATACAAATTTATTGTCCGCTATGAGTTCTGGTCCTGGCCCAAGATCACCTATAGGAATGCACCTCTGCATATGAGAGAGACAGCAAAACACATTGTAAAGTGTAGCCTCCTAATTTGTATAAATGATATTTTTGATTCTCTTTTTGTGATTTTCAATTAAACGATAAAAAGTTTTTCATTAATTTATGAAGAAATGATGAAGATTTTACAGGAATGAGATTTGGTTTTAAAAAAAAATGGGAACATTTTTGTGGGGGTTGGGGGGCTACAAATACTGAATTAGCATCTAGAATAAAATCTGAAAGAACATATACTATGACCTACAGCATCTGCTAAAATCTTGAAACACCAAGATCACAATATATAAAATACTTAAAACCAGTTGTCCTAAATGTCGGTGAAACCTGAAGCACTTTTGAAAGAGAGGCAAAATGTCCTAGGGTATATAGCGGCTGATTTGATGTTACTACCTGGCACCACTTATTACAGACTTTGGAATCACCAAAGATGCAAAGGAGAAAGAATAAGAAAAAGTTAGTTGCACATCCATTACAGCAGGCATGTCAAAGTGAGGTGCTATGAAAGCCACATGCGACAACTAATTGAAGTTATTTAATAAAAATTATTGCAGAATATGTTTTCTCGCAAAAAATAAACACATATTCTGCGATAATGTTTATTAGATGACCTAATTAGTTGTCACATGTTTGATTTTCCTTCTATAAAAGGTGTGAAAGAGGGTCCTTTGCTTACTTTAGATAGTTCAAATAACAAAGA